AGGGGTAAGCAGAAAAAAAATTGTGTAAATTTGTTTTTTTTGTCACTTTAAGTCTGAGGTGAGCATCGCTGAGCCACCTTGAGCTCAGTTTGTGTGCTGGCTAAGAACAAAAGCTCTGGATTGTTGGATACTGTAGTTCTGCTAGAGGTGCAGCCGTGAGATTGGCCTGCACCTGCTACACTCCCACCGAGACCCCAGAGGGATACGTGCATGCGGCCGGATGTTTGTGTGTGTTGTGCGTTCGCCTCAGAGGGTTTGGCTGTGTGTGTGTGTGTGTGTGTGTGTGTGTGGGTGTGGGTGTATCATTCACACAAACACACTGCTTCCTGGTCCCAGTTGGAACCTTTAGCCACATTTGCCATCATATGGAACAAACGCATAGAGACCCATTAAACTATTGTTCTTTCATTTCAGAACACCAGCAGCTACAGTAATCAGCATCTGTGCTGACGTCTGACTTCCCAGGCTAATTACCTTTACATTAGCGTGACTAATAGAGGTTAACAGAGGTCATTAGGTCGAAAGACCTGTAAAGACTGTTCACAAAGCAACTGCGGAGCAGAGGCACGTCGACAATAGAAAGGATTTCTACACTGTGAACTTAAATTAGTTGACTTTGCTTAAAAACTCATGCAACCTTTTCACTTTGAAAAAAAAAATTAACAGGCAGAAGCTTAAATAATGTTATTAAGTGTCTCTAATAACTGTGTAGTTACATGTGAACAACATATGCAGCGGCAATGTAACTACTAATGATTTAGACACCGTTACAGATGGATTACAGTCATACACCTTATGTAATTACACAAGTGTATCTTAATAGTTATAACAGCCTGTTCTCTCTCACGTGATTACACAAGGGTGATAACACAAATCTAATTACATTTGTAATCAGACCAGAACAGCAGTTTTAGAAGTTTTTTTTTTTCCCCAGCAGTAAAAGGAAGTATGTAATAACTTACATTAAGACAGTACTAACACTGTATCTACCAGCTCTCCTAACATTTAGCTAGTGTTTATGTTGCTAGTGCTGAGACACTGTAACCAGTTTCAGCTTTAAACCATTCTGTATGTATACATGACAGCACAGCAGACGTCCCCTCATCCTAAAATGTAACTTCTATGAGATTAATTACATGTATTGCATTTCCCCCAATGCAATTTCTATATTACCACTCCATTATCACACAGTACCTACATAACAACTACACAGGAACTGTCTACTTACTTTAAAGTGTGACTTTAACACTACAGACACTACAGGAAAGTTCCTGTGTAGAAGGTACACTTGTGTAATTACATGAGGCGAAACTGAAGTTGATAACATGTGTAATTACATAGGCTGTACTTCTGTAATCCATCTGTAACATTAACCAAATCATCAGTGTTGTTGCATGTGTTATTCATGTGTAACTACACAGTTATTATAGACACAATATAAAGTGGGACCGTTAAAACAACTCCATTATATTAAATTAGATGTTAAAATAAGTGGCTTAAATTCGACTAGACCTCATGTCTGAGGACTCAAACAGCTAAATGCAAATTTGCCATTTTGTTAGCATTCATGCTAAAAGACTGGTGAGATCATGGTGAGAATAACGAAACTATATAAAATGCATTTAAATGGATCATTTATCCCAATAATAATAACATTTTGCAAAGAGAATTATATTTAAACATTAGAAAATATCAGAAACCAACTAAACCACCAAGAATGCAATTTGGGAAAAGACTCTTAAGTCCATTGGACTTATCCAAATAAACTGATCTTGACTAGATTTCTCTAAGTACACCGTAAAAAGTGCGTCGTCAGATCTACTTAAAAATAATTACTTCATGTGGTGACAAGCAATTGAACTACTTTTATTCAACTCAAAAAATTTGATTGAAAGAATCGTTCATTCAGACCAGGGTCGTTTGCCTGTTCTCCCCGTGTCTGCGTGGGTTTCCTCCGGGTACTCCGGTTTCCTCCCATAGTCCAAAAACATGCAGTCAGGCTGATTGGACGTGCTAAATTGCCCCTAGGTGTGAGTGTGAGTGTGTGAATGTGTATGTCTGTCTGTCTGCCCTGCGATGGACTGGCGACCTGTCCAGGGTGTATCCTGCTTTCCGCCCAATGACAGCTGGGATAGGCTCCAGCACCCCACCGCGACCCAGAAGGATAAGCGGTTTAGATGATGGATGGATGGATGGAATCCTTCAAAGTATTTGTTTAGGTTGAGTAAAACTAGTTAATTTACTTGTTACCACACAAACAAGTAAAGTAAACCCAAAGAAATGAGTTCATTTATAATGTTTTACAGAGCACTCCCAGATATGGCAGATACAGGTCAGCGACAGCTGTTTTGATGATGAAGGAGTCTTCAAACTCCTCGAGCGTGCCAAGGGAGGGAGTTAAAAGAAAATAAGTTTTCACAATTTCTGCATAATTCAGTTGTTATGATGTGAATAAAGTCACTCAGGGGTTTGATGTCTAATGCTGCGTTCTAAAGAAACTAGAGTCAAAATTGTTCACAGTGGTGGTGATAGGAACCAGATGTCTGAAGTGTTGGCCACGAAGAGCCACCTCAGTGCCATGAAATGGTTACAAATACGCTGCCTGATCACTGAGTCATTGTTTTTACAGCAGGTTTGAGGCCTAAAACCTATTTTTTAAAATCTGTTCATGGTGTAGAAGTTCATGCAGGGCAAAGGCAAAGCTGTACCTGAAGAAAACGTATATCTCCAGATTTACCACTATTTTACCAGTATTAACATTATTACCATTATCAGTAATGAAAATGGTTCTGGCAGTCAGGAGCAAGAATGTTTCAAAAACACACATGGAAACAAATTGAATTGCAGGAAATGCTGTGTAAGTTTTAAATAAAAATATTGAATAACATAAACTCAGGATGCCGCAGGCTCTGAAACCCTTTTCACTCCAGCGACTAATACTGCTCCATACAGCTCAGCAGAGCAGGTGACTGCTTGCTGCTGGTGACTAGCATTTAGCCTCCTAAACAAAAGTTAAGATGTAGGTCACTTTTTATGTGGCAGCCACATAATTTGTCATATAACACAAATAAGCTCTATTTATATTATTAAATTGTTACTGTGATTAAAACACAGCATGAATATCACATTTATTTTTAAGTACAATTTCAGACCCCCCAACACTAAGCGATCTTCCACCCACCCCCACCCCCAGCTTCCACATCACTCCTGCCCTTGCTCACTGTTAGTCTTGAATAGTAAATAAATGGCTGTATTTCTGTTGTAGGTATCACAACCCCTGGTTCCTATCACCACCATTGTAATCAGTACATTTCTATACAATGAAGCAGTTGCTTCTGTTACTTGTATTCACTTTACATGACTCAAGTGTGTCAGTTGGTTGCACATGAATAAAATCCCTTACATCAACACAGATTGTTTTCCAAGTTATTCAGTTCACTTCTTTTGGAAACAGCTGGAACGTTTGTAACACATTCAGGTGCAACTGATTGTACTTTTGAATCATGTAAATTCAAGCGTCAGTGTACATTCGCCTTGTAGCTACAACAAAAAAAAAGCTTCAGGCAGGTGAAGTGACTTTTTATCCTTTTCATTACTTGTACAGAAAAAACAGGGAGCTGAAAAGAGATGCAAGAAAGTCCACAGATCTATCAAACAGAACTAGTTACACTGAGAACAGAACAACTCGTACTTATATCTCGTAAGATGTCCTTTTGTTGCAAACACAGCTCAAAAAAGGTTGGGACAGTGGGTGAAATGCAAATAGAACAGAAAGCAGTGAATCTGCTTATAAATCTACATTGACTTGTATTTGAACAAAAACAGTACAAGATATGTAAAGTCGGTGGAATGTTACAGGCAGATGCCTCTATGCTTTCCAGAACAGTCTCTCATTGAATATGTGAGTCTTATAAAGCTCAATATACCATAAGAGAGGTCCTGTACATTTGCCCAGCTGAAAACTTGTATAACTGAACAATAGCAAACATTCCACTTTCAAAATTCAGTTTGTGTCTTCAGTCCCTAAATGATTGTTAAATGCTATTAAAAGGAAAGGTGATATAACACAGAGTGCGTTTACATGCACTCAATAATCCGATAACTGCAGAAAATCAGATTTTGTCAGTAATCCGATCAACACGTTTACATGAACTTGAGTAATCAGACAATGTGAAACTTCAGGTCTACATGAGTAATTGGATTTCTGCTTTGCAACCAGCCAATAAACTCACAGAAGACGATATGACGTAAACGTAACGTAAAACTCGAACTTCATACTGCGGCTTTTTTTAAACATCGCGACACTTTACCTCAAAATATGAACGTACATCATCTAGAAGATGAAGAATTTTAAAATCTTTTATTTGGTATTTGGTTTCAGCGCCCCTCCAAGAGTGTTTTGCTGCGTCTCGCAGCATCCGCCGTCTGATCTTGCGCATGCGCAGACTGAGAAATCCGAAAGAAATCAGAGTAAGCGTTCACATGCGCTGAGAAATCTGATTACTGGGCTAAAATCCAGCCTCTTTATTGGATTTCTTAATCGGATTTCAAGATCGGAGTATGGTGTTTACATGACCATTTGAATAATCGGTTAACTGCAGAAATCCGATTATGATCAGATTATTGAGTGCATGTAAACACACTCACCGTGGTAAACATGCTCCTGTCCCAGCTTTATTGGAACATGTTGCAGGCATCAAATTTGGAATGAGTGTGTATTGACAAAAAACAATGAAGTTTATAAGGTAAAACATCAACTGCATACCTTGTTGTTAAAGACCTGACACAGAAAAATATCTAATAACTGCCTTCATAGTGTAAAATGCTCAAAACATTTTATTACTTATTATCAGTTATCTGGCCGCAGTGGACAGTGTGGAGAGTGGGAATGACGTCACAGATCACTAACAACCCAAAATGTGCATTTAAAAGTTTATGATTGTGAAATGAACTAACTTCAGCATGTGGTGTTAATCAATCAGCCGATCACTGCTCCCCAGGCTCTCAGTGTGTCCATGAGAGTGGGCCTCTGATCCGCTCTCTGCTGCTGGCTGGTCCTTCAGGCGTGGGGAAGAAGATGTTGCTGCATTCTCTTTGCACGGAGACCGGAGCCAACCTGTTTAACCTCTCCCCCGCCAACCTGGCAGGCAAATATCCGGGCAGGAACGGCCTTCAGTACCTCCTGCACATGGTGCTCAAGGTAAGGAGAGACTGCAGCTTCTACTTCAGGAGAAATACCTTCAAAGAGCATAGACAGAAGAGAGTTTGGTCTACAGAGTTTACAGTAGACCATTATTCAGTTGCTTGGCTATTACAATACTTTCTTCAGCCACTTTGTTTGAACCGCCTAGTCATGTACAGTTAGAGACTGTAGCCTCTGTTTGTGTTAGCCATCCTCTAGTCCTTCGTCAGTGGTCACCACAGAGACACGCTCAGTTGGATATTTTTGAGTGGTGAAAAATTTTCATTCTAGCAGCAACACAAAGTCCCACTGTACCAGCACCACACTCACTACCATGTTAGTGCCTGTGTTGGGCTGAGAATGGTCCACTACCCAAATAATATCTGGTGAACAGTGACCCTGTGGTCAGAAACTGACCAATGATAAATAGGGTAGACACGCCCAGTTACAGAACAAAGTGCCTAATCAATGAATGGGGGTACACACTAGGAAAGTGACTGGTTATTCATAATTATAATATAATGTGTGGCTTTGTTTATGATTTCATGAGTGAAAATGAAAAAAGTCCATAAACTGTATTATCCCTATGCTTTAATTTTTTATTTATAGAGATTACCATAAGCAAAAAGGGATTCAGGGGGCTCTTTTAAGTGCTCCTTCACATGAAAAACACAACAAAACAGTGTGGTTTCTTTTTCTGATGTTCAAATTTTATTTGTTTTGTTTTAAAAAATGGTGCAAGACCATAATAGCAAGTATGTTTGCTTGCTATGTTTAATTAGTTTCCATTTTATTAGCGAACATCCAGAAAGAATACACCATTCGCAGTGATCACACTAATGTTTCAGGCATTATCAGGCATATTAGTGCTTTGTAGACTAATTATAATCTTCATACAACACTACCAGAGCCATTTTATGATTGAACTGAACAGTATCCTGCATAGTGGACATGGTCATAAACTGTAAGCTCTGCTGGACACTGCATGTGTTTCGTGGCAGGTTACATACAAGTCATTAACTTAACCCTTGTGTGGTGTTGATGTGTGTGTTACTCAGTGGTCTGGTGGACCCACCGCATTATTGTTTATTTAAATCAATACAGCCATAACAATTTATGTAAAAATACCAGATGATTAAAATATCACAAGTGTCCAGCGTAGGGTTCTCCTTTAGCAGCTGTAGCCAGTCAGCAGCCTGTCCATGTTGTCCACCCTCACACACACACACACACACACAAACACACACACAGACACACACACACACACACACACTAAAAGCAGGCCATATAGGAGGAGAACAGAGTGAAGGACACAGCACCTCCACACTGTTACTCCCCGCGGGTTCAGCCCAACACCACATGTGTAATATAAATGTGTGGGGGGTGAAAATGTGGTATTTTATGTGTTGACAGAAAATGAGCAAAGGCCTCTATTTGGAATCTGACCTTGGTCAGTGAACATGAATTCATGCATCTTTAGAATAACAGTTATTTTTCATATTTTCATCCCTAAACTGCTGAGCAACTCAGTTTTGAACCATATTTCAGATTCTGCTTACTTAAAAAATTAAAACAGTTACGTGATGTCAGCATTTTTAAAAAGCTGTGTATTTTCTGTCCACACAAAAGCTCTGAAAGTTTTCACAACTCTCCACCCTGGAGAGCTTTCTCAGAAACATTCATTTTCAATTTCAGTGAATAAACAGGTTTTCGTGTGGCCGGGAGGCCAAAACCCAGAGAAAAAAACTTTAAAAAAAATTATCCGGAAAGGTGTGAACGGGGCCTTAGGTATGAGTTAGTTTGGTGTAATGCATGCTTTTACAGCAGCATAGAATCAGGCCTGGAGATAGAGAGTGGAATGACAGATGGGCTAAAGTCTGTATTTGTACACTTATATAGTGGACAATACAAGATTAACCCCCCTAAAGTGATTGTAAATTTAAGGTGTTTCTAATAAAGGGGATGATGAATGCAGGTTGTATGTTGTTAGGTGTAAAATGCACGAGCTCTATATGGTTATGCGCTCAGATTAGAGCTCTCTTCTTTCCAAACTTCATCCATACATGGCCGAGAGTCATGCCCCTACGAAAGGTCAGGAATTGCGTGCTCTGTTTGTTACTGCACTTCCAGGATACAACATGACATGCATATCTAAACACGTTGCTTACTGTGTCACCATGGCAACACCCATCCATGCCATGAAATGACATGACGAACATTTAGTTCTGTTTACTTTTTCCCAAGAACGTAAACATAAACAAACAGGCTTGGAGGTTTTAATGAGGAACTGAGAGCTTGAAAGGAGCGTATCCCCACATTGCCTTTTCCTGCCTAGTCATAAATGTGAAGCTCCTCAACGATCTTTACTGGCGGGCTTTGTGGAGGGTCGGTGGGGTGTGTTCTTTTGTGGTTGCATTCGTGTCTTGGCCTCTGAGTCAGAGAGCGAAGGAAAGCCAAGCTTAGTGCTGCTTGAGGAGCTCTGGTTGAGCACAGCTGGAGCAGGAGATAAACTTAGTGGAGGGTTGAGGTTGCGTCTGTTTGCATTGTGCGGATACGGCTCTTTCAGTGCCTCTCCTAATGCATGCTGGGAGCAGGACCCTGTTCAGTTGCGGCTTCCTGCTTGCTCTGCTGTTACCAGATGAATACCTTCCCATCCGCTGGACGCCTCTCTACTTAGCCCTTATCTTGCAGAGGCATCTGGCTGCGCTTGGGCCTTGTGCTCAAACAGCGTAAACACACCAGAGCGTTTAATGTGTGTGTCGATGATAAATGAGGAATTAGGTCAGTCACGATTACTTGATTCAACTCGGTAAAAAACAAGCAAGCGAAACGTTCCTGCTCAGCAATGACTGGTTGGCGATTAGCATGATAATGCATTTTTAAAAATTTTTCTTCTGCTCTCTCTTACAGCTAGAAACACTTAATGGACACACCCATTTACAGTCATATCAAAAATTATCCAAAAACCACTCCAGGTCAAATGACATGTTTTGTTGATTTCTAAGTCAAAATAAGTTAACACATCCTCTACAGGGGACAAACTTAAATATGGCATTTTCTGCACATTTTAGTGCACAATTTCTATGTATCTGCTGAATTTAACATGTTGGAAAAATATAAGTAGTAAATATAAAATGTGCCATTACTTTTGCACAGGCCACATTTTATGTTTTTTTTTTTTACAATTCATTAAAATGAGCAAATAAACAGTAATTATGCATTAAAATGTGAAAATGTGTGTTCTCTGTATTTTCACAACAAAACATGTTAATTAACAGGGTGCCTAAACTTTTGCATGTTTACATTTATGGCATTTAGCAGACACTCTTATCCAGAGCAACTTACAATTTCATCATTTTACACAGGTAGGTGAAGGTAGTGTTAGGAGTCTTGCCCAAGGACTGTTATTGGTATAGTGTAGGGTGCTTACCCAGGCGGGATTGACCCCCAGTGTGCAGCGTATAGGCAGAGGTGTTTACCCTCTACACTATACCAACCGATATGGTTGTGCAAACATTTTTTCCACATGGTGTTTTTAAAAGCGTTTTTGTTTATTTTGTACGGTTAAAGGTTATGTGTGGTTTGTTATTGTTCAGTTCTTCAAGTAATAAAAACATTCATTAATTGATTTTAATAGCATGCTGAATTTAAATCTTAGAAATAGAATAGAAATTAAAATTTAGAAGAAATAGAATTTTTTTCTGTCACCCAGGTTTAAATGACACAGTTGGAAACTTCAAAAAACATAAATTCACATTTAAACACAAAGTGTAATAAATGGGGATGTAACAATCCACACAAAAAAAAATCAGCAAAATCGGCAAATAAAAGAAAAATTAAGACTGGCAAAATGAGAAATACATTTATATCCAAATGAGTGAAAATGAGTAGTGACATTTTTGAAAAATGTATTTGCACCATATACTGGATACTTTTATACTCAGCATAGCTTGTGGAGTTTAATTATTTTATGGCTTTTGGCCAAAATTTAACTCCACACGTATGACATGGCTGGAAAAACTCGCTCGACTTGATGTCTCCAACCTTTAAATTATTATTTTAGGCTCTACAGGGTGACTTGCAGCAACACATGCACACCATGTTTTAGCATGTTTTTTTCCAGACTGTGAAATTCTACTTATTTCAATTTTAACCAAAAAATCTCACATAGTGCAGCTTTAAATAGAAGAAAAGTATCAGATCAAAAAGGTCAGCACTGAGTTCTTAATAGAACTGCAGTGAAACTTCTGTCTGTTCAGCATCTATAAGTGTTAGGACCTTTGTTAGCATCTGTTTTTTTTTTCTTTTTGGGGTTCTGTTGGTCTAAAATAAAATGGGAAACCTCAGAGCTCTGAGGCACCAAATTTCAGTGTTTTTTTTTTTTCCTCCTGCCTCAGTAATGCTACTTATTTCATTTTTTCCATTTCATTTTTCTCAAAAAAAAAAAACTTACATAGTGCAGCTTTAATATTTTAATTTTCAGTTTATTGGAGCTTTCAACATTATAAAAATACAATATATGAGACAAAAGTTATGCTTTGTAGGGTCCTGATCTAACACTCTAGACACTAGCTAATATCTAGGCCTGAGCTAACTCAGTAGCTACAAGCTAACATGCTAATCATGATACAGTGATTCAATACAATGCACTGCAATACAATTTGATACAATATAAGATGTTGTATTGTTACATTCTTAGTGGTTTCATTGTTTAAAGTTCCAGTAGTTGATTTTGCTTCTGGATCGCCTCTGTTGAGGGTCCAACAGTCAGCAAGCATAGCAGGGCTCCATTTCCCGTCGTACTGCTTTTTGTAAATGTTGTAAATGTCTTGATGTAATCACTCATCCTGAAGCCGAGAAAATGTATCTTTAATGATGTGACACCCCACAGTTCAGCACAATGCCAGTGCGTTACTCACAGTAGTTTTCTGCTTTATGATTTCCCATAAAGCCCTTAGTGATATTCCTGAACACCAGCCACGCTGCTTACTCTGCTTGATTCAACTTGTTTTATAACTCTACATCTCCCATTAATTCTCTGATCTGAGGACCTACAATGATCCCGTCTTTCATCTCGGAATCACTTATCCTGGGAAATTCTTCAGACACATAAATCCAATTTTTCACCAGGCTAATTTTATAAGATTATAAATGCCACAGACCAAAGGCATACTTAATATAGACTTACATTTCTAGCATGAAGCATAGGAAATATTTTATTCGTTTATAATTGTCACATATAATATGGTTGGTGAATAATGATTTAATAGAATTCATGGCATATTTTAGGTCACAATATTAATTTTATCCATGTTCCACACCTGTAATTTCAATTTATGAATGCATTAAAAGAAGTTATTGAATTGCAAACTTTTCAACTAAAACTGCATCGAATAAATGTTCAATACTGTAGTTGAGGATTCATTTTTCTATAACTTTGTTTGTCTCACATTTATATGTCCTTACAAACAAACCAAACAACCTAAAACAACATTGCTTTCAAAGCCAGACCTGCTTTTTTAGAAACATAAGTTATAAGCCAAATAGCTCCTGGACCAAAGTGTGGTCTAGGAGTCCCTTCATCTTTCAGAGTTCAGTATTTTATGCATGTCCTTACTGCACATCTTATAATTAATAGATTCTCAATGAGAGTTTTAAAGCTCTACTTGCCAAAACAAACAGAACAATGGACTGGCCACGCCAGAGTCCAGACCTCAACGTCACTGAATGTGTTTGGGATTATTTGGATTGTGACAAGCAGAAAATACAACCAACCCATCAGGCTTGTTATCAGCGCACAGTTCAAAAGCCAGCATCGGTGATGGTATAGGGGTGCATTAGTGCACATGGCATGGGTGACATGCACATCTGTGAAGGCACCATTAATGCTTAATGTTATATACAGGTTTTGGCAACATATGTTGCCATACAGATGACGTCTTTTTCAGGAAAGGCCTTGTTTATTTCAGCAAGACAGTGTCCAACCACATTCTGCATGTATTACAACAGCATGGCTCCGTTGTAAAAGAGTCCGGGTGCTGACCTGACCTGCCTACAGTCCAGATCTGTCACCACTGAAACATATGGCACTTTATTTAATTAGAAATATGACAAATGAGCCCCTGAACTGTTGAACAGTTGAAATCCTATATCAAACAAGAACAGGAAAACATTTCGCTTTCAAATCTACAGCAGTGTCTCCTCAGTTCACAAACACTCACAGAGTGTTGTTAAAAGAAGAGGTGATGAAACACAGTGGTAAACATGCCCCCGTCCCAACTTTTTTAGAACGTGTTGCTGTCGTCAAATTCAAAATGGACATATATTTTTTAAAAAACAATACAATTTCTCAGTTTTATCATTTGATTTGTTGTCTTTGTACTATTTTCAAATAAATATAGGGTTTAAATGATCTGCACATCATTATATTTTGTTTTCATTTACATTTTTCACAGCATCCCAACTTTTGTGGAAATGGGGTTGTAGTTGTAGAAGCTTCTACATGGTTTTCTGTTAAATATATGTTTTCTGCTTTTTTCCTGATGCTGAAAATGTAATGATTTGTGCTCATTTTGATGGAATAAAGGGTGGTCTCAGACTTTTGAACAGTATTATGTATCTGGATTTGCATAAGTCAATATGGATATGCATGTATAGTTTTCACATGACAAAATATGTTTACCAGGTAATCAGTAAATAATATGACTGTTGATTTATTTGATAGTGATAAACGCTCATTATATACAATCTTACATTTTAATGTTGAATTCTATGCATGAGCCCTGAAGGGGCTGCTGTGTACAGTTGTGTCTGCTCTAGTAGGAGTGTGAATGTGTGTGTTTGGCCTGTGTTGGAGGGATTTGTTGTTATGTTTGGGCAGGTGGCTCGCCAGCTGCAGCCCTCTGTCATTTGGATCGGAGACGCTGAGAAAACATTCTACAAGAAAGTTCCAAAGGCAGAGAAAGAGGTACGCCTGCCAACTGGGCTGCGCTGGACATGAGGGTTCACAAGCACACAAATACATGTGTACACACGTGCACATTCACTCATACGCACAGCAGTCTCTGTTTGACACATTTTAAAAACAATAGGTGGTTAGTCCCCCCCGAGGAGAGAAAAGCAACAGCAGTGTCTTTTCACACTTCTTGAAGTAGCCTCTACTGCCCTCCTGTGGCTCAGGAATTCAAATACATTTCCAGGGTACCTTCAATTATCAGCGATTTCAGTTCAGTGTTTTTTAAGGATAATTAAATGTTTTAGCGGTTAACAAAGTCATTCAGAGTGGTTTGGTGTCAAATGCTCTTACCAAGTCAGAACTGTTCACAGTGGTGGTGATAGGAACCAGACGTCCACCTCTAAAAGCTAAAAGACAGTTATTACATGGAATGGTTGCAAATGCCTGATGCCTGAGACATTTTGAGATAAACTTTTGGCCTAAAATGTGTGTTTTAGAATCCATTCAGGGCAGAGAGGTACGTGCAGGATGTAGTGAGTCAAAATAATAAAATAATAAATTAAATCTTTTTTTCAGATTTAACATTTAATATACAAATTTAGAAGACGTGTAGGTTCATTGGCAGTTTCGGATAGTAAATAAAATGGCTATTTTTGCATTGTAGACTTTACAAATCCTGGTTCCCATCATCACCACTGTAAAGAAATGAGTCGGTAAGTTTCTCTGTAACCACTCTGAATGACTTTGTTTGCACCTCGATGACTGAATTTTGCGAAATTTTGAAAAATCTGCAGAGTTTTTCACTTTTAAAGCTACATTTACAGCAGCACTGTATGCAAATGTGAACCCATGCCATCTTGATGGTTAGGAAGATCAGCAAGTCCCACCAAGTGGGAACAGCCACTGTATCAATGCAAATGAATTAAACACGGTGAAGTGAGAAAAAAGCCTGTCAATACACACTGGTGTTATATGCTGCTTCTGAATTCAAACAACTATTTAACTTACTAAAATGAACATTTAACACATTTATAGCTTATTTACAGCCCATTCATTATGTCCCTTATTGTTTCTATCCATCTTGCTGGCCGTCCTCTTCCTCTTTTACTGTTCCAAGCATATGTGTCTTTCTAAGTTAACTGATTTGTCTCATAATATGTCCCAAATAAGAGAGCTTCAGTTTAGTTATCTGCTTTTTTATTATTATTTCACATCCATTTAAAGCCACAGAAAAGACCACAGCCTGGACAATTCTCACACTCACTTGTAGACAAATCTTTACATTTGAAGACTTTTGGGTTCTTTGAAGTGATGCCGCAGAAGAACCATATTCAGTTTCGAAAAGAACCTGGTGGATAGACAATGGTAATAAATGAGATGTGCTGGTGCGAGAAACCTTTAAAGAAGCTTGTGATGTGAAGGTTCTATACTGTTTAGTAATTTATTCAATTACTTGAAGTATATATATATATATATATATATATATATATATATATATATATATATATATATATATATATATCCAGACTGTTCAGGCTTAAACTAGTGTACATGTCCAATAATATTAAGATTTGATGTATAAAGCAAATGTAAATATTTGTTTGTTAAAAAAAAAACATGACAAATAGGCAAAATCCCTCTACTAGTAGGTCACCATTGTCGCTCTATGATATCACAAGGTTGCAGTGGCATCAGTCTTACAAAGAATAAGACAATCAAAAAGTTCTCTCATGTGTAATGTCACGTTCTGGATAAAGTTGAGAGCCATTTGATGCTGCACCAAAATGGCAACCTACTAGTAAAGGAATGTTGCTTTGTTTATGCAGCATATTTCAAAGGCATTGGACATGTACACTATAGTGAGGCTTTCATCTGACAGTTAGGCTTCCCTTTAACGCCATATATGCCCTACTTTTTTATTTATCCAGTGCTTTTTAATACATTGTAATGACCTGATACCCTAGTATAGATTCCCCATATTGCCTTTGCTAGAATCTGCAGGCCATCCTGTCTGCTGCCCTTTCATACTCTCTCTACTCTTCCCTTTGTGCCTTAATGCTTTAGATGGAGCCCAAAAGGCTAAAGAAAGACCTGCCGAAGGTGGTGAAGTCCATTAAAGCAGAAGACAGAGTACTGCTCGTGGGGACCTCCCGCAGACCATTTGATGCCGACCTCAAAGCACTCTGTAAAGTTTACAAAAAGATCATCCTGATCCCCAGACCAGACTACGCCTCACGGCTGAGTAAGTCCGAACTTATAATTAAGCATTACTTTAAGGTCACATCTTATTAAAGAATAATGTGTGTAGGGTCGTGTTAAAGGTTTGAACACCCTCAAACAAATGACATGTTGTGTTGATTTTCTATGTAAAAATAAGTTAACACATCCTCCACAACTTAAATATGGACATTTTCCTGCAAATTCTTGAAAAAAGACCGCAAAGGTACCTTTTTTTATACTATTTTTTTCAGTTAATGTGTTGTGTGTATAAGCCAAAGAATTTACACCTGTATTATTTTAATCTACCTATTGGTGGCTGCAATGTAACAGATTTTTTAAGTATATAAATAATACACAGTGAGAGCTAACCATGCTGAAATACAGCCTCCACATGGCAGGGTTAGTTTTACCACAGTATTGCAATTAAGCCACCCCAAATAAGCAATACCTCCCAGATAAATTCAAAACAGCTAGTATTTTATACATTAAGTTATAGACAGACAACATTAAATTGAACTGAATTAACTGTTTGCATAAAACATAAAGTGATTTTCCTTATACACTATATACATGGCCATAAGTATGTGGACATCTCACCTATATGAATATAATATATGAAGCCCCAAGATGTCAGAGCTCTGTGCAGAGTTCTTCAGTTCCTCTACAGCAAACTCATTAAACTGTCTTTAAGGACCTTGAATTGTGCACAGTCATGCAGGTGGCCTTCATCACCATGAACTGGCCTTCATCAAATCAAAGTTGGAACCATTTAATTGTCTAAAATGTCTTTGTATGGTGTGGCATTAATACTATCCTTCCCTGGAACTAAAGGGCCAAGCTGAAAGCCTGAAAAACAACCCCAGTTCATTATTCCTCCTCCACCAAACTGTACTGTTGGCAGTACGCATTCCAGTAGGTAGTGTTGTCGTGACATCCACCAAACCCAGATTCATTCATCAGCCTGCCAGTGAAGCATGTTTCCACTGCTCCAGAGACCGGTGGTGGCGTGCTTTACACCACTCCAGCCGACACATGGCATTGTGCACAGTGATCTTAGGCTTGTGTGCAGCTGCTCACCTATTTCATGAAGCTCCCAGCGCACAGTTCTTGTGCCGATGCTGCTGCCAGAGACAGCGTGAAACTTTGCAGCAAGTAATGCAACACAGGATATGAAATTTTTATGAGCTACGGGTTTCAGCTCTACCGTTCAGGACTGTGATAGGTTGTTGCTTCTAGACGCTTCCATTTCAAAATAATAGCACTTGCAGTCGACCGAGGACCGATCTATTAGGGCAGAAGTTTCAAGCTGACTGACTGATTTGTGGTTAAAGTGGTATTCTATGACAGTGTTCTTTTAAAGTCACTGACCTCTTCAGGATGACCCATCCTACGGCCAGAGTGTGTCTGTGGAGATTGCATGGAAATGTAGAGATTGTGTGGCGAACCCACAAGCTGTAATACTAAATTTCCAAAGTCACATCAGAAAATATTTCAGCAAAAAAACGAAATAAACAGTATTTGTTATCAAGAAAGTGTTGACAGCTTTCTAGGGGGTTGGATACTTTTGCAGGGTGCTGTGTTTGTATCTGTGTATCTGACAGTTGTGGAGATTGGAGTGGTTCTTCAGAGCTCTCTACTGTAGTTCATCCTATTGGTATGGATAGCAAACAGGATACGTGAGCTGATCCACTGCGCACAGCACATTCTGTACTGCATTGTAATAAGACTCCTGTATGTGTGTAGTTTTATGGAAGGAGCTGCTTGCGGTGCAAGGGGCTCAGCTGGGCCCCACTCTGGACCTGAGCTCTCTGGCTAAGGTCACTGACGGCTACACCCAGGGTCACATCTTGCAGGCAGTGCGAAGCGTCCTGAGCACCCGCCGCCTCACTCAGCAAGCCAAGAGACCCCTCACTGCCCTGGAGTTCATCCCCCCTCTCGCCAGGCAAGACCCCATCTACAAAGAGGAGGAGGAGGCCTTTAAGGTAAGAGAGAAGCAGAGATACAGAAATAATCGTATATTTACTTTATTCATCTTATATGCTGCAGGTCCTGTGTGTTACAGAGTATCTCTAACTGTACATCAATATTTAGACTAATGTGTTGGTCCCAAACTAATCCAGCAAACTTTTAGCAAATTTACTTCTTTATCTCTTCCTAAAATCCTGCATTATAATATAACACTGCATTATAATAAAGTCTCTAGAAATACTCTGTGTATTGAGGGTTTCTGTTGAGTGGCAGAAAATGATGTGTCCCCCGTCTAAATCCTCACTGACTGCTTTATTATGAGGGAATTGCACCCACTTTTCAAATTTCTGCAGAATTAAATTCTTAAGATGTAAACAGTGTCATTCAAGGTGGTCTGATGTGACATGACCAGTTCTAGAGTCAGATTTCTTCACAGTGGTGATGATAGGAACCAGATGTCTGAAGCATTTAATGCCTCTAAAAGCCACATTACAGAAAGTCATTACATGAAATGGTTATGAATACACTGCCTGATGCCTGAGACATTGTTTTGCAGTAGTTCAGAGATAAGGTTTTTGCCTATAATGTACAACCCCATTTCCAAAAAAGTTGGGACGCTGTGCAGAATGTAAATAAAAATAGAATGCAATGATCTGCAAAACATGTAAACCACATTTTAAAAGAAAACACTACAAAGACAACATATCGAATGTTGAAAATGAGAAATTGTATTGTTCTTTGAAAAATATATGCCCATTTTGAATTTGATGCCAACAGCATGTTCCAAAAAAGTTTCCTTTAGAGCTTTCTAATATAGTTTATCCTATTGGTATAGATAGCAAGAAGGATGCGTACATACTGTACTGCATTGTAATAAGATTCCTGTATGTGTGTAGTTTTATGGAAGGAGCTGCATGCGGTGCAAGGGGGTTAGCTGGGCCCCACTCTGGACCTGAGCTCTCTGGCTAAGGTCACTGATGGCTACACTCAAAAATCCTTGTACTATTTTCAATTAAATATAGGGTTTAAATGATTTGCGCATCATTGCATTTTGTTTTTATTTACATTTTGCACAGCGTCCCAACTCTTTCAGAAATTTTTCAAACCTCTAAATCCCTCTATATGGACCCACATCTATGTTTTTCACACTGATAACCACATAAATTATATTTTTATAGTGGTCATTGAATATTTTATCAGAAATACTGATTGAAATGTCTTTATTATTCCTTTTTAATCAAAATTTTAAATCAATAACAATAATAAATCTATGGTCTGAGGGGTTCATTCATTCATCTCGGAGAGCTACATGAAAAGGAGACATAGTTTAACAGATTTAACACTTTTTTACCCTCATCAACATTACATATGAAACTCAGAAGAGGTAGGTCTACTGGTCGTTTTGGACAGGTAATAAAACGACTGGCTAACTTTGAGTTGCAAACATCAAAGCCCCTGGTTTCTATCACCACCACTGTAAAGAAATCATGTCAAACCACTCTGAATGACTTTGTTTACTCAACAATTGATGTGTAGAAGTCTGGAAAATCACAGAAAATCCTTTTTTAACATACTTTGCAGGATCACCTTGCTGGTGTACAGTTAGAGACTGTAGCCCATCTGTTGCGCAATTTGTGTTAGTCATGTTTTAGCCCTTCATCAGAGGTCAGTTTCTGACCACAGAGCCGCTCCACCACTGTCACTATGCCTGGTACATATGTAATGTCAGTGTCACTGCTGTATATGAATGATCCACCACCCAAATGACATCTGGTAATACAGCGTAGGGGTTAATATTAAAGTGGATGGTGTGTGTGTGTGTTATTACGTCCTGGCAGGCCTGGTATAGCCGGACTCCACTGGGCAAAAAACGAGCACGAGCTGCCAAGGAGTTTGAGGAAACGGCAAAGCTGAGCAAAGGAAAGAAGAAACCTGGAAAGGCCTCAAAGAAGGAAACAGCAGGGAAAGAAAAGAAGAAGAAAAAGAAGTGAATGTTTCTCTGCTTTGTCATGGACTGCAGTGCTTTTACATTCATAAGACTTTTTAGTTTTAGATCGTATCTCTTGTTTGCAGATACCTGAACAAAAATTGGGACTAGTGTGCAATTCCTCTTTTGACCACCAGAGAGCAGCAACACACTTTCTTCCACTTCTCCTCTGGTTTACTACCTCCTTTACGCACATCTCTGTTTAAAAACATATTTCATTTCATTGACTAAAAATGTATTTATTTAGCTTGTTAAAAAATAAATAAATTGACACATAAAATCAAGTTATATGTTGAAATCTTTAGAGTTGTTTTAACATACTTTTTTTATTCCATAAAGCTGCACTTTTGTTTTGAGGACATAAAACACACTAAAATATGGTCTACAGCCTGAAATAGTTGTACAAAAGGGTCAGGGTCAGATTTTTGGGGAGTATTTCAGACCCTTTCATACATCTTTATGTATTAATGTCACACGCACAGGCCCAAAAATAGGTCCATCTCGATGTTTAGGTCAAAATTAACATTATACTGATTATAATATCATAAAATAGTAGATAATTCACTTACAGTTCTCTTTAAATAGTCTTCCAGTGCACTTACAATCATCAGATTCATCTGCTCGGGAAAGGGGTCGAAGTATAACTCAGGTTACAAAATGTTCCTCCACGCGTTGCATGCAGTCACACATTTCCACCAGAGAGGTCTCCAAATCCCCAAAACGTACATAGTGCAGCTTTAATTTTCCATTTCTTCATGCCATATGTGTTTTATTTGCAGTAAAACATTTGGAATCTTTTATCATTTGGAGTGGCCTCTGAAATGAGCTGCTAGATGTGATGTAATACCTAAACTGCCATTGTGTAAACAGCATCAGGGGACCATTTCACAACAGACTGTTTTATTTAAGACTTTTTTTGCACTGTGTCATATCTTGGCAGAGGAAGACAAAGCTGAAGAAAACACTCCCAATAAAGAAGCCCATTGTTAGACACTGGCACTGAGCTGTGGTACTGTCTCTCCTAAACGCTGTCATTTGGTTCCTCAATGGTGGAACTGCTAATTAGCCTGTGTAATGGACCGCTGTGCCTGTGGCTGCCAGCAGGACTGCACTGCGACACCTTGGACCACCTCTTCCATGGTACAGCCTAGCACATGAAGCTAAAATGTTTGCATAATTCAATATGTATACACAACAAATTAAAGAAAAACATTTGGTAATGTTCTGTAAATAAAACCATTGAGATGCTATCAGTTTTAAAGACAATGATAAAATATATTTGTTGCCATATGGAAACAGCAGGAAACAATAGAACAGTCATCTGTAAAGCATACAAAAGAAGCAAACCAACACAATGGCACTGTCTTTTGCACATGTTTTTCAATCCAAGTTGATGTTATTTAACATTATAAGTGCTTAAAACATTTATGCATGTATGGCTGTCATACATTTGACTTTTTTCATGTCTGAAATATGAGTTGATTGGCTATGTGTATTTGTTTCCTGCCACTCTGTGTATTGCAGATTGCAGTTCCAATGTTGTGAGCTGTTGCCATATGGCAACAAATGGAAAAGTATAACTCAAAAATATTAAAAATTAATTTTTCTTCAATCATTCTATCAATAACACCTTTTTATGTAAAAAAAAAAAAATCAGTGAAACATGCTTTATTTTTCATGTATAATTCAGCGAATGAGGCCATCCTGCCAGCTGTGCAGTCTAGTCTGAAGTAGTTGGTACACTGTGACTGGCGTAGCTAGGGCATAGTAACTAAAACACTACCTTTGTATATAATATATAACATATTAACTTTACATTTCTGGTGTAATTTAATTTTAAACCGAATACTGAATGCTTTTCATTTAGCTGTGACATTTTTTTTACAAGTATTTTTACTTAATTTTCAAATTAATATTCACTGTATGGCCAGTTTGGCTAGGTAAAATAGCTATTTGTAGCTAATACGAAACATACTTAAAATGAAATTACTTTGGAAATGCAACATTGCAGGTATCTATGTAATAAGGTAAGTGTTGTAGGTAGTTTGCTAGGTCCTGGCTATGCTCATCTTGCTAACAGTGATGGGTCAACTAGTCACAACTAGTTAATTCTCTGCTTCGCTCATCAGTTCATTTTTGGGCTGCATACATTAAAATGCTGCTGTTGTAAAATGTTCGGTCAGCATATTCTGGCCATTAACACTTTACTGCATTATGTTGCCGTATGGCAACAACTGCTTTCTCCTAATATTTCGCCTAACCACACCATAAATTAGCAGTTTTTCCTTTTCCATTTAGGAAGGCTTTTTGCATAAAATTATATACTCTTTTTGCTATTCATGTGCCATATGCCTCTTTGTTCACACACATCATATGGTACAGCCTAGCATGTGAAGGCCTCTAGAATTGTTTGCATAATTCTATATTTTTAAACAAGGAATTAATGAAAATTTGGGGACGTTAATGAAATTTTGTGGGACTTTTCATTAAAAAAACTAGTTGAGATGCTATTATTTCTAAAGACAATGATGAAATATAATTGTTGCCACATGGATTTTGTCATTTCAGCATTTTTTTTTTTACATTGCAAGTTGATTTGTTTATCAGTAAATTAGGTTAATGTTTTTCTGAATTCTTAAAACTTTTATGCATATATGGCTGCCACACATGACTTTTCTTCGTCTTAACAATGAGTGTGGCCCTATGTGTATTTGTTTCCTGCCACTGTATGTACTGCAGATAGCAGTTCCAGTGTTGCATGCTGTTGCCATATGGCAACAAAATGCAAAGTATCACCCAAAAATATTTTTTCTATTTTTCTTTTTTAATTTCTGTTAATTATGCCATTTACAGTAAGAAGTAAATAGTAAAACATGACTTATTTTCATGCATAATACATTTTTTTTTAATTCAGGTCACTCCGTGAGTGTTTTATATCCATAGCGAGAGCTTTATTTACATGATTGCTCCAAGTTTTGGTTTAATATTAACTCTTTACATTTCTTTCTTGTGTCAAAATTTCACATATAATGTAAAACGACAGAGACAAAACTGTTAAGCGAGAGTTGCTTAGAGATGCTTATAGCAACCAAGAGATGCTTATAGCAACCAAGTATGGAACACTGTCTGAATGTTTGTTTGTTTATGCTTGTTGGGATTTCTTTGCTCAGTGTGCTCTGCATATGCTATTGTTAAGTGCCAGAAAGCTGACCTACTTCTCTTCCTCATCTCTTCATGCTCTTCTACAATCCTCCTCTCCTGGTGGAGCTCCTGCCTTTTCATAGAAAAGAAAAATCAGAAAAGAAATCTCCTTAATTTCCCTGTAGTTTCTTTTAGACAACACTGAGATCAAGGAAAGACAAATAAGACTTTGCTTCAGTTTCCTGATGTTCAGATGTTTCTCCTATTATAAAAAAGACCTATTATATCATTGCTGTCCAGTATCTAGTAAAGAGTAAGTATCTAGTAGAGTAAAGTATCTAAAAAATAGTGGCTTTACAGGAGAGGGCAAAAACACTCCTATCTTTCAATTTAAGTTAAAGTAAAGTGATTTTATTCCAAGTGATTTTAGAGCATTTCTCTTGGTAGATTCAACATGAAATTCTCACACAACGTAAAGAGCAGCTGGTGTGTTGAAATGATGTAGAAATATAAAAATCACCAAAAATGGAGATACATGGTTTTCTGTAGACAGCGCTGAAATGTTATAGTAGAGATCTGAGTAAAATCAGAAATTGTGCTCAGATTTGGCGAGAAAGTAACACTCATGCTCACCTGCAACTGTCGTGTCTTTTTTCTCTAATGCTTTTTCTCCTAAGGAATTTTAGGAGAATCACCACTAAATCTCCTGAGCCATCAACAGCAACGTTTGAGCAATGAGTGAACTTGAATGGACTTGTCTTCAACCAGGCTTCTCCTGGTCCAGCCATGTGTACCTTCACTCTTTCCTCTTTTCTGTTTCTTGATCACTCAGTCTTGATCCCTCATCCGCCGCACCAGGTGGGTTTATAGAGCATGACAAACACACTCACAACTCCGTGCTCCTTCCAGCTTCAACTCACATCTAATTGAATTATTCAGAAGGGTGTGTGTGTGTGATTGTGTCTGCCTGTGTGTGTTCTCATCCAAGGAAAAGCCCTGAAGCTAGGTGTCATGTTAAGATAAGTGTGAGATTTTTTACCTCTCTGCTTATTCAAATGAGACATGTTTGAAGTGCATCTGCTAAAGTGCGCTCACTTATAAAGCTCATCCGATTGTGTTGGAATTCACGCTTAATTACTGAAAGGAGAAGGACAGCGGTTTTATCTGATGATAACACTGCTCACCCCCATTTCTGTCATGTTCAACATTCCTTTTTTTTTAAATTAAAATGCCCCTTTTGACTGTTCTCTATCCTCATAGGTAATTTCCATAATCCTAGACGTGTCTTCCCTTCAGGAGCGATTATAATTAAGCATTATTCAGATTGGATTATTCACATGCGTTTTTTTTCTTCTCGTCCAGAGTCGAGTTGAGAGCATGGCACCCCTGTGGCCGCGGCGGTGAAACAAAGAACGTCTACTGGCTCGTTTCAAGGAGCCTTTTAACCATTGTTTCGCAATTACTATTTATTTTCCCTGGCCTGGGGCTCCAGGGCCCAGGCTTTCTCATGCGGCGTCGGCTCTCCTGCAGCTAGCTGCAACCTCTGAGCTAGCGTTTATGGTGATGCATCCAGCTCTTCGTAGCCCTCGGCCAGCCCAAGGCCCATGTGACTTCACCAAGCCCCAGACCCTAAAACAGGCCCCAGGGGTCAAGGGTGAGACATGCTCGTTTAAGACATTACCCCTGTCTTAATGGAGACATAAAAGCGAGCTTTCACAGGAGCGGGATGACAGAGGATCCTGAAGGATGGCCCCTCTACCTGTCACATCAGACTACGTCTGAGAATACAAACTGCTCATTTTAAAGGCTAATTGTGAACGTTTCACGCGTTCATTTGCCCACAGCCCGGAAAGGACTTACGTGATGAAGACTTTGCAGCCCACGGTTGTGTGGAGGTCTGGATTAGAGTAAAAGTTCCACAATGATTTTTACTGTAGAGAGAAAACAGATATGCAGTTTGCAGCATGTTTACTGGGGTAAACTATGTTTTTTTTGGGCTAAGGTTGCACAGGACTGGTATAAACAACATTCTGAATCACCGCCCCGCTGTGCAGCGCTGCATTCTAGCCTCTAAAGATGTCATTTTGAATGCTCCAATTATTGAACAATTA